ACAATCAGTTGGAATTATTCATTCTGACAATTTTCGATTTTCCGGTGGGCATCGAACCTTGGGCGATTACAGGAAAAGGATTCCGTCGAAATGTCCATTGAAATATTCATTGAACTTTCAGACTATTCATTTTATAACTTCTAACTGATCTGTGATGGTTCCGTTTTGTTTATTATCGCTCAAAATACAGCACATCTCTATTTCAGAGAATCTCGCCAGTCTCCCTCTATCCGATATACCGAATCCCACTCATAAGGAGATCTCTTATCGGCCCCCTTCTCCGCACATTCGAGTGTCACTTCTTCAGAACGATTATAAGCGCGAATTTGACGTCCAACAAAACGTACTTGAGTTGATGAGGAAAGAAATACGAAGACGAGAAACAGCTCAAGCAGAGCTTGGAAATAGAAAGGCTCAAACCGAAGGGGATCTCAGAACCGCAACCGAATCCCGAAAGCTTGAAGTCGAGGTCGTGACTCGGAAGGAAGGTCGAGAAGAGGCTGAAATTCAGCGGGAAGATTACGAAGTTCGCAACGTCGATAATCCCGAAAATGTGGCAGTACATGAAAATAAAACTGCAGCTCCGACAAAAGTTGGAGCTGTGACAAATGAACAACCTGAATTGCTACCAGATGTGCTTGGCTCACCATTGAGCGAGGGCAGCATTTCATCTGAGGTTCGCTCCCACTGTTATTATTATTAACTCGAAAATAATTCGAAATTCCTAGATATTCCACAAATCGCCCACAATTCTCAATAATCGAGCTCGTTGAGAATATTAAAAAATGTCAACATAAATAACCTTCAGCTATGTGCACTAAACGTTGGATTTGTGAATCTTTTATCGAAATACACTCAACCCTTCGTTACAGGACGATACAGAGGAGGAAGTTGAGACGGCTATTGAGCATTCGGATCTGGATTTCCCACATGAAGAAATTTCTAGCAACGATATGTTCAGTAATCGCTCAAGCCGAAGTTCAGCCACGGTAACAATCATCGACATTTAGTTTCGTTCTCACAGCTTTTATTCATAATGTCCGCCTCTCTAAATGACTCCGAATCCAACCTATAACCTTCAAAATAGCTTTGCCTTCCAACAACTTCGAAACCTACCCTCTTCCACGATCTTATCTTTTTAGGAGTTCAACTCTCTGAAATAGATCATTCCATTGCAGATTCATAGATGCACAAGTGGTAAATGGCACCCGAACAGAAGATCTGTGGATTCTGTTTACCTGACCACTTTGATGACAGTGATGAAAGATCAATCCAACTTAAATGAACAAGAAACAGACAAGAAACTCGTAGATACAAAGCAATCAAATCATATAAGTGATCGATAATCGATGATACTTCAGTACTCTCGCCAACACCGTCCAACTATGCTTCTTTTCTCATCATCAACCCAAAACTCAAAAGCGATGATGTTTGTCAGACTTTATGTCATCGCTTAGAACTGTAAACATTTCCAGCTATTTTCCTGAAAGCGAAATTTCTATAAAAATTCTTCCAGTGCTGATTTGAGTTCATAATATTTTTTCCTTTTAAAATTTTTCATTTATTCTCAAGAATTTGTACATTAGATATGAGTAATTGCTTCACGTGTTACTTTTCAAAATGAAGTAGTACAGATAATTCGCATTCATTGAACTAGATGCTGTTGTGATTCACCAACATATCGGTCTCGATATTCTGGCGATTTCTACCTCAGGTCATGTTTACGCCCAGTGTNAAGGAAATAACCTCAACCATGAAAAAAGTGTGCTTTGAAGCAAAAATTCGTCAACTGACATCACGGTCTGCACACAGATGATTCGTAACCGTCTGTAAGCATACAGTACGTATTGATTTGTCGACCTGGAGTTATGCTTAAAAATTCATGAAAACACAATTGGAAACGTTTTCAAAGAACCTCTTAAAAACGGCAGTGCGCACGACGCACGAATATGTGAAATTTCAAAGTCCCTTACAGCTTTTCAAACCTCTGTATGTTACTGGACTGAATTTGCTTTTGATTCNACCTGGAGTTATGCTTAAAAATTCATGAAAACACAATTGGAAACGTTTTCAAAGAACCTCTCAAAAACGGCATTACGCACGACGCACGAATATGTGAAATTTCAAAGTCCCTTACAGCTTTTCCAACCTCTGTATGTTATTGGACTGAATTTGCTTTTGATTCATTGTTTTCGTCCTACTTATCAATTCGATTGAACCGGAATCATGTGATGTTGAGGAAATATTTATTTCATAATCAATAACGAATATATACAACAATCGATAATCAAAGTTGAACGATTGAATCAATAAATGATTCAATAATAAGGCATCCAATTCGATCCATCAGCTGGAGTCAAACTTCCGGTGATCAACAGAAAGATATCCACTATCCACCATAAGCCCAACCCGCCTAATGTCATCAGCTTGCCAACCGCTATCGCCGAATACCCCAAACAAAATCGATCTACAGCTAACATGCCAAGAAATATTGAATACAGAAGTGTTGAAAGAAAATAATGACCCGTATATCTGAAATATGCAACCACCATTTCATCGTTTGAATACTCCCAACAACTCAATAGGCTATATGCCGTACCTGCCCAATTATTGATTCATGAAACTGCTTTTATTACCAGCATAACACGTTTATGTGCTTATAGAACTTCATACTTCTCCGATAATAACTGCTCAGTACGACGTTCGTTACATAAGGCTAACGCACGCTACTTCTTAGCTGCTCAGCTCACTGATTCACCCAGAAAATTCACTTGAAAAATGAAAATGCCGAATAAACGAGACACAAATAAAGCGGTTGATTACTTTATGCAAGGGACTTCTCTGGTGAACGTCCTCGCGCCACGACATTCAATGCACGGTAGCACACGGCAAGTCACATTCGTACGTTCAACAGTCTCATAGTGAGTTCCACCGAATTTGTAACAACCACCATCAATCTTAGAATGTAATAAGTCAGTTCGCTATGATCAATTTAATTTAAATGATTAGAACTGTGATTGTGAACAATACGGGGTTGATGGATCAATTCAAGCTAGAATGAACAAATGAATATGTTCGTTCGAACATCGCTGAAAACGAAATGTTCAGAATTTGAGAGATATAAGTGATCTAGGCCATCGTTACCTTTGTGATATTTGTATTTTGTGTAGATGAAATATCAACTGGCTCATCACATTCAATCCACCTGCAATATAAGACTCTATTGTACATTTAGTACCAATATATTATTCAATATAGTTCTTCTCTATGCAGTATACGAATTCATTTCGATATCTTACTGAGAAAGTAACATCTTACAGAAAACGCAAACTGAAGTCGAACTTCGGGATACTTTACATAACTGTATTCATAATAATGAAGATAAGACCTCTCATCAAGAAAAGAGCAAGGTACGAGAGGACCGGCTGGATTAAGGTCAAATCCTTCCTTATCACATTCACTCAGCGAGCTATCATCCGGCAGCAATGACGTTGCAACAACAGCTGCAATAACGATATTGCCATGTTTCTGTGTTTTTGGAATCGATATAGGATTTGTTGCTGAGTTGATGTGGAATAACTCAGCCGTACATATCACTAATAGCCATCGCCAGTCGATGAAACGCATCTTCTGAATTTTATTCGATTTTATTTCACTGTATACAAAACTAAACATACCCACGATTCATATCAGCAAACAGTCAACATCTGTATTACATCAACATCACTCAACGCACGTTCACAACAACAACAAAAAACTATAACACTCAATATGATCCAGGTGCTCAACAACGGAACAATACTGTTGTTGTTAATTTGTATGCGTTAATGACCTATAAGCAACTAGATGTTCTGTCAAAAAATAGGATGCATAC